ACGTCAATAAATGGGCCAACGTTGCTGTCTATAGCGCTGCCTTGGATACCCCAGCTGCATCGAGTTATAAAGGAAGAGTTCATTACGTGGGAGACTTGCCTGCTGGTCGTGCTTGGTTCAAAATAACAAACCTTAGTATCAGTGATACCAAGGAATATGCTGTGCTAATTCTAGAAGGAAGTGTTAATAAGAGGTATGAAATGAGTCTGACTGTGGCAGGTAAGCACCCTCTGCTCAAATTTTTATATGCAATTATATTATTCTTAAGGCCGGATTGAAAGGAGAGTGGTTGGGCAGCATTACAAGGGGAAGGATGGAAGATTTGATAAAAAAATTACTTTTGAGGATGGGATTACTTAAGTTCTCTTTTATCATAATCATCAATTGTTTTCGTTCTTAAAAGTTCAAGTTTATGAGCCAAAATAGATCTGCCTTTTTACATATCAGAAGGGTCTCTTTTTTTATTTTGATGTTCATTTTGAAGAACTGGCTGTCTTAAGTGAGCTTAGGTCACCTGTTAGTGCAGACTATTGTCTATTCAACTTGCTTACACTAACATCATGTCTTCTATAACATTGTGTTCAAAAGTAACCCCCAAGTTCCAGCCACAGCCACCACTGGCAAAGAATATAGCAGAGGGTCAAGATTTGAGTGTGCCTTGCACTGCTGTTGGTCCACCAACTCCTAACATCACGTGGGTACAGATAATAGGTCACGTGACCAAAAGTACAGGCACAGGAAATGCTACACTGAGGATACCAAACATTAGAAGAGATCAGAATGGGACGTATGAGTGTCAGGCCAGCAACAACCCTAATGAGAATCTAATCACTGCACAGACTGTTGTGTCTGTATATTGTAAGTATGAACAATGCAGTTATTTCAGTGCTCTTGGTTTGTTTATTGTTGTTATTGTTTTATTGTTATGCGCTCATCAAAAATTTACATTAAAAAACGTAATTGTAGATCCTCCTCAAAGCAGTACCATTCCTCCAAGTATCACAGTTGTACAAGGTGATGAGATCGTACTCAGCTGTACAGCAGATGGTTATCCACCACCTTCCATATCATGGACAAAGGCTGACGGTGTCATCAAAGATGGTCACACAGTAGCTGGGGGAACACTTAGAATACCTGATGCTATCAAAACAGATGCTGGCAAGTACATATGTACAGCAAAGAGCACTTATGACAGCATGGAACACAATGACAGTGCAACTGCAACTGCCATAGTAAAATGTAAGTATACCTATGCTGCGGGATTTCAGTTCATTGGAATTCCTCAGTGTATATATCATCTCTCGATACATTTGAATTATTTTAAGTTCATTTTTCGTATGTATTAATCGACTCCCCTTAGAGGACGAGGAGTTAATGCGAAATATGTTGATTTCATCGAAAAGACGGTAATCACTCTTAAAGTATTGTTCTATCAATGTTTTCCACTTACCTCCACTCACCTATTACTGCGTACTTTTCACAAATGACGTCCATTGTCTTGTCGGTGATCCCCTTGCTAATCGGGTTATGATTGTATCGCAGAAATGCCACAAATTCCACCGAGAAAGATATATGGCCGATACTTTTGAGAAGGGTCCATTGCATTGTCTCGTTTACACGTAAGGGTCGAAATGTAAACTTTTGAAGTCATTTCTTTAAGTCGATTGTGGACCACGGTTTGCCTTATTTGCATTCAAACAGTAATTCACATTCTTTGACGTATTACTTAAGCTAAGGTTTCTTACCGGCAATGTCCACATGGCATTCGATAAGAAGACAAATGGACATACTCACTTACTTCATTCTTGAACTGGTTGTCTTTCACTTTCGCTCTTACATCTATAGTCAAACTATAATTCGAAATAAACATATATCTATGTTAAAATTGTATCAGACTTTNTTGTAAGTAACAGAAATAAAACATGTTCTACGTGGAAAAACGATATAATAAAAAAATAAATAAATAAATAAAGCGCTTATACTTTTTAACTATTTCTAACTTTTCTCAATTTCTTCCCAGCTGCAACAGCCATGGGAGTCATTATTGGCATTCTTGTTCTATCTCTTGTTCTTAACCTTCTCGTACTAATTGTATACCTAAGGAGAAGGGTCCAACRAAGCAGTACGTTTGATAAAGTATTATCGTTTATTAATTGATCTTGAACCCAGACCAAGGTAGTGCTGCTCATGATGGCGCCTAATATCTGGTTTTTATCCCTTGTTATTAAAATAGGTAAAAAAGAAAGCCAAGCGCATTATAAAAGGTACTATAAGAAATAGTGAATGAATTGATGTGCAACAATACGTTGGTTGTTATATTTAAATACTTGCTTATTTTTGTCGTTGTAGTAGTTGTTTGGGGAATAATTTGCGGATTATTTTGTGAGTATAAAACTGTATTAACCTCATTTTCTCTCGCTGATTAATGAAGACATACACAGAAGAAAGCTGTTGCTGGGGAAAGTTATCATGTAAGTCATCCTTGTGTTAAATATTACAACAAATTCCAAACCTTTTTTTAAGCGTTTTGTATTTGATCTTTCCTTTCAATTTGTTTTCAGAACGACTTGGAATTGGAAGAAAAGGTAACATCAGCAGTTAAGGCATCGCGTGTTCCACAGGCTGTCAAAACAGGACCAGAATATGAAACCATCAAACAATTAAATCCTAACGAGGCTGGCTCTTCTGACGATGCCAGTAATTATCAAGGGCTTAATCGGATGCCAAACACGTCTATTCAAGGTTCCCAAGGACCTGTGTACGAGCCCCTTGGTACAAGATCATCGAAACCTAATTTGCAGCGTAATGATAATGAACAACACCAATATGAACCCCTGAATATTGGAAAACAAGACTCTACCTATCAATCCCTGCAGACTAATAGCAGGGAGTCTGCCATATGACAATAATATAAGTTCAAGAATATTCAGGTTAACGTGAAATGTTATTATCATTTATAAACGAAAGTGTTCAAGAGTGTTAGCCTTGCGTCATTTGGAATAGTGAAAAATGTATACTGTTTGATTAACCGTAATAGTCATTGTGGATTGGGAAAAAACTAATGTATGAAGTAAGAATACCTCATAAAAAATAAAANTACATTATTGAATAGTGCACTTACAATTCAAGTCCTGAAGTTATACTGAACTTGAGAGAAACCTTACGCCCTTGTGTCTCTTCAGTCACGTTTGACAACTGACTATGTAAATCTTATTTTAATTTCTGTTATTCCAAAGCTTACAAAATATTTCGTATCATTACTGCTATTCAAATTTCATATTTCCCGCGTGAGGAGCGATCAAAGTGACAAACAAATTCATTCATAATCGGTCTCGTGGGTGTGATCATATTCTAAGCTAATGAACGCTAGTGTCCTATGGGATCCCCCTCGGGCTCCGCCCTTATGGCTTTCTATCTATAGACCCCTTGCAGCACTTTGGAATGCAGCTCAATCTGAGGGAGAAAACAATAGGTTCTTATTCTCAGAAGATTGGAATTCTTTTGTTTTAGTCCCCCAGATTGAGATGCTTTCATGTCACATGCAAGGGGTCTGTTGCACGGGACTCTGTATCCGACAGAACACTTGCGCGTTTATTATATAATCTTTACATAAAAGTCAGGTATTTTGTGCTTTCATCATTTAGGTCCACCACCTTTGCCCAGTCTTCATCTTAGCAAGAGTAAAGCTACTATTACATTGTACTGGACAAAAACGGATGAAAATGGCGGCGAAATAAAACAATATACCATCTACCAGAAACAGGGTGTAGAAAAATCCTGGACACGTATACATGTCGTCCGTGACTTGACCAACTTGACGTATGTTATACACGTTAAGGATCTGGAGCCTGGTCGGACATACTGGTTTATTGTCACGGCAACCAACGAGTTTGGAGAAAGTGAAAAAGGAGATGACAAGGGTAAAGAAGCGTATATTTTGCCAAAACCGGTTACCACAGCAACCCAAGCAACTACTACAGGTATTGGTAAGTGAGGTATTGACATGGGATGGATTTTACTTTATTTTACATTTGATTAATTGAAGTAATGAGAACACGTACATTGAACTCGGAAATCGAAAGACCGGGCAAGATGCTTCGTACAAGATAGAACATGCTACTACTAGGCTATAAGTTATATCCTACTCTTAGCGAAAAGTGCCGGCTTTGAAAACCAAGACATTGAATTTAACCACAATTGAAAACTTGTTTGCATCTATATATTTGAGCGACTAGTTGGATTTGACTAAAACAATAGCAGATATCGGAGTTAAACCCTATTGCCTTCAGACAATGGTTACTTTTGGGTCAGTTTTTATACATTTCATTGTATTGATCCAAATGCCTCGACTTAAAACAATTGTTTGAAGGCAACAGGGTGTAACTCTAATTCTGCTATCGTAGTCTTCTCGCCCTCATGGCCTATGAGTCAATAGCCCATTCGGGGTCGAGGACTAAACAAAAAGTTGCAGTGGTAAAAACAAAGTGGAGTACGTAATGCTTCGTGATAATTTGATATAATTTATTTATTAATATCATAACACTAGTTATCAATTATCAATGAGTAAACAAATCGTCATTTTTACTACTCAGCCTCATAGTCTATAATTATTTTTAGAATGTATAAATTAAAATAGTAAAAGGAAATTTTAAAAAATCTTTATGTTTATTTAAGAGTTTTTTAAAATTAATTAACAGGCGGGCAATCGAGGAATAAATCAGACGAACAAGAAAAATGCAGTAAGTAATATTATTTTTCCTAAAACAAATTCATTAAAGGAACGATTTCTTTACACTCAAGACAAAAAAGAATTGACAATTTTTGATGTATTGTTKAAGATTTTCTTTGTTTTGTATCTAGCACCCTTATTATTTTTGGATCCTCTTTGTTTTACCCTAAGTTTTTTTCTTTGCCGGGTGACAACGTTGTATACGTTTTATGCTAATAGATTATTAATTCATGGAAAGCATTTTTCTTTTTTACTCAAGGCTCCACTGCATTAGCTGTCTGTGCAGCTTTCCTAGCGGTGTCTTTGGTTGTTATCGTCCTCTTGCTTCTTTACATTTGGAGGGACATTAAAAGGACAGGTATATTCTAGATCTTTTTCTTCTTTTATGATTATCCTTACTTATATAAGTATAGCAATCTCTGTTTATTTGTTAGTTGCTCTATCAAACGAAATTATTAAACATAAAAATGCAGTTAGATTGTATCATTTAACAATAACTTAGACAGAAATTCTAACACATTTTTTTCGTTTCCTTTGCATATAATGTCTCTTGAAAAGAGCAAACCGGAAATACCAATACAAAAAGGTGATTAGTTGAATTTAACTACATTGCTGTCAGTAATATGCCTCTGATTCTCCATTTTCCATTCATCGGTTCACTGGTCAAACACAAAGCATTCAGTCGAGGTTGCAAGGTTCAAATTCGAATAATCCTTTGAAAGTACCTTGGCGCCTCGCTTGAGCACTTTGTGTTTGGCCAGTGAAACAAAGTATGGAAAATGGTGAATATAATGTTTTCCCATCACAGACCACATGTCATTCCCTAGAATATCATTTCTTTGTTTAATGGTTGCACATGAGATGACAAATGAATATGAATACAACTCAAACAAATAATCTTATCAGTTCTCAAGGGAATGACAAGTGACATTAAGTCAGCAAAACATTACGCCCAAGTGAATTTTGTCCATTACAAAATGTTCTATTGCTGGTTTACAATCATTCCCAGAAGAGTGAAATAACAAAAGATGCGTCAGCCATGTTGGATGATGCAACAAAAATAATTAATTGACAATTATTTGGTTAAATTCAACCAAGATGGCGGCTATGACGTCAGGTGTAAACTAAGAATTGATCCTTTCATTTTTCTTCATTTTAAATTTCAAGAGTCACCAGGAACAAAGCAGTTGAAGATCCAGTTTATGACGTATGTGTTTGTTGATAATCATCATAGTTTACCTCTTTCAACCATCAATGCTAATCATAAAAGAATCCATTGAATTGATTCTAATACTAAAAAGCGTACTATTGAAAATCATTAGTTCCAAACAAACCAAATATTGGTGCTTTGGTCATCACTCAACAACAATCGATGCTAAAGGCCCTGTTGCACTTTGCAATTTTTCCAGTAACTTGGCAACTTGTCTCGTATTGTCGTTTGCCTTGTCTCGTTACGCAAGTTGCTGCAGAATTGCACAATGTAAAAGGGTTGTCTCGAAGTTGTATTGTTGAGCGTAGCGTTACAAGAAGTAGAGTTCAGTCCTATTTTTCGCAACGGATTGCAGCAACTGGCAACGTATTGCAAAGTGTATCATCGCTCCAACAACTTTTTCTCGCAACTTTAAGGCATATTTTTCAAGAGCGCATGCGCACATTTCTCATTTATTCCCGAAGAACCAAAAATGTTGCAAGTTGCTAAGATCGAGTAGAAGTGTAACACCTCACCTCGGCGACTTGTAACTACATTTTCAAGCATGCGAGACAAGCTGGGTTGCTGAGAAAATGCCACAGTTTAATTATAACGGGTCGGACTTTAATTGTTTCTTCTCACTGAATGAATTCGCAAAAATGTTTTTTTTTTTTTCACAGAACACCCTAGAAATGGAAGAAAACAAAGCTTCACACATTTCGGTATCACAAAATCTTCAACAGACCTCCCCACCTGCAGAATACGAGCCCATAAGAATTAATCGTGATAATCATCCAATCGAAATATCCAGAGTAGATGGCTACAGCAGCCCCTCCACAGAAACACTCAGTCATTATCAAGCACTCACGCATTCTGATGAAGCTGGTTCATCGCATCAAGGTCAAGGTCCAACTTACGAATCCCTTCACCGTCCACAGTTTAAACTACCTGATGCTCAGCTTGCCAAGAACGTACCAGATACTACATACCATCCACTTGGTGTCAGGCAAAACCCTACAGATTACCAAGACCTGAAGATCTRTAATAATATGCATCAGCTAGAAAACAACAGGAATGACCAGTCCATTATATAGACATACTACTGTATTGCAGTATTGAAGCATTAATTATAATACATAAGCACCTAATCGAACTTTTACTTCCTCCACCGGCCCCGACAGCCCCCTTTTTTCAATTCCCCTGTATCATTATATGATGAGACATGCGTCTTTCAATAAAGCTCAATAAAGAATATTAATGAGGATGATTTTATCAGAGTCTTAAGTTGCACCAACGTTTAGATGAAGACTTAGAATCTCATGAAGGTCGTCCTCAAACCTCACTGCGCAAGACATCGATGTACACACTTCAATGAATCTATAAAGATTCATGTTCGTGATAGTCATGGCCGCTGTAATAGAAGTTTTGCACCATCACGTGACGGCAGCCATATTAGATGACAGGAACAATATAATACTAACGACAGGCAGTCCAAGCTGAATGATGGACGTGGGCACGTGATGGTGCAAAACCTCTATAGCGTTTTACGGATGACGTCACAACATTACATCATGGGATCGAAATTCGGACAAGCCAAGCGCACATTTGACATGCAGCCGATAATATTTTGTAGTCTTGTTGTTTTTAAATGATGGAAGAGCTATGGAGGCATTTATGGTTATTTGTTGTTCCTTGTAACTCAAAATATCGGCTTCTATGTGAAAAATAGCTTGCAATAATTTCTATAAGAGCAATGAGGGAAACAATGACGGATTTCTTAAATTTAATTTATCTGTGCCAGTAAGGTTTTGTATATTAAATGATTACTCCTCAAACGTCACAGCATTAGCATATTGCATGGAAAAACCTTTAAAACTTTAAGAAGCTGCACTTAAACTATACAAGTTTTAGTGCTATTCAACATCTTACCCCATGTTGAATAAATACTGTGAATATTGTCAGAAGGGTGATAGGCACTTTAATGACATAGAATAAACAATTGATGGGTTGCAGTTAAAAGACAAAAACATGGCGGCCATTGTGGTACCGTTAACAATGGATGCTAATGAGAAATCTTTTGTTAAATGGTACCAACATGGCCGCGATGACGTAACGTGCAAACGAAGAATAATTAAGATTTAACGTAATTTAACGTGGGATCCCTGAATTTTTATGCAATTCCACGTGAAATACCCTCTTGTGTAAGTCATCTCTAGTAAACACAAGAGTCTTCATGGCAGCCAGTTTACAACAATTTAAAGGAGGGATATTTTCATGGTGTGTCCCTAGATTAGACCCCTTGCAGCACTTTGGAATGCAGCTCAATCTGGGGGACAAAACAATAGGTTCTAATTCTCAAGAGATTGGAATTATTTTGTTTTGTCCCCCAGATCGAGCTGCTTTGACGTCACATGCAAGGGGTGTATACATTGTATAGCTATTTTGTTGTCACAATATTGAAAAAATACTTAATTAATGCCTAAATATCTAATGGGAAGAAATCGTGGAATACCGCCGAATATACAACGGCTTTACCGCAATTTGATTGGTCGTATGTTCAATGCTGTGGGATAAAAAATCATAGTAGGCATAGTCTGCTTCGTTCTGAATGCTTTTTACTTATTCTTTTAATTTGTTTTCCATAAATTGTCCAAAATCAATTTCATAATCAAGCAAAGATTTTTTGAGAGATCCTTTCTACCAGTCTTTGTTTTTTCTCTTAGCTTCAAATATATGTTTCATCAGTCCTTCTTTTCTATCCTTACTTTCTCTGCTCCTTTAGCTCAGCGTACATGTTTTATTTTATCTCATATTACTATTTTCTAGCTTTTGCAGAGGTCTTCGTTTGCATCTCAAACATATGCCACATTTCTGCAATCACTTTTTAATTTTCACACAAAAACAAGTATTTTTTACATCTATTCAGACAAACGAACCGACATTTTAAGCCTCTATTCCTTTCTCAGTGACTTTCCTCGTTGAGTAAGTCAAAGCTTAGTCGCTTCGTCATAAGGATCTCCCGGTAGTGGTAGCTTAGTTACGGTTTCTTTGTCATCTTTGTCGCCTTGTTAAACACTGACATAAACGTTGTTGACAGACATGGCGTGATTCTCAGATGGTAATTTGAGTAATGGGCTTGAGAATACTCAGGTCACAATAATCATTCAACGGCCTTAGATATGTACAGAAATATTGAAAATAAGTACCCTAAGTACCATAAGTATCATTTTAAATCTAATAACAACTCGAATAAGGAATATTGACTCTTGATACTTGATTATTTGTTACGTTATATCAACAAATGAACAAAGAAAAGTTTAAATGGAAAGGCCTTTAAATTACTAGAATACGTTGATCTATTTGGAGTTAAACAACAATTTTGCAGTAAAGGAAAACAGCTGACAAAATAAGTCAACAAGTATAACAATATTTTGATTCAATTAATCGGGGAAAAACTATAAAAATCCAATCCTAGTTTAGGTCTTCTAGTGCCCTTGCGTTACCCAGTAAAACAGACAAACGCTGTAGTGAAGTACAAAAGGTCAACCACGAGAAACGAATGTGCATAATTAAATTTTGCTTTTGAAGCAGAACACTTGCTGATACTGAACGCCATCTTTTGGGATTTCGTATAAAACAATCCACCATATCTTCAAAGTCTTAGTTTTCTGAATGTCAAATTCTTCCTCATGATGAGTGTTGGTCAAGTGCCTATCATTTCTTATTACATTCTTGGTTTCATCGGTGCATTGTATTTACTTCCTCACGTAGGTAAGTCTATTACTAAATTATGATTTACTTATTCATGTTGTTGTTATTCTTCAATCATTCTTCAGTGATTCCTAATTTCTACAAATTAACAGCGATCAATATTTGAAGGTGGTCAATCAAAGTTTTGATGATCATTAAAATAAATCCAGTTTATCAATGAAAACGGTTCGATTCTGATACCATAACATTGTAAACATTGTCGTTCAAAAAGTTCAAGGAAGTCACACTGCAATGTCTTCACTCGTAATCGACGAACGTTGTGTCGACTTAAGTTCAGCCCGGAAGTTATATTATATTGAGACAATATAATCAACTTGATTTTGCCCAAATAAAACGAAAAACAAATTTCTTCCGAATGATTCAAACTTAAGGGAAATATTTAAGTTCATTTTCATAATCAAGTAACAATATTAAATAAAAGTTGCTGTTTTGTAGACACAACAGCTCGCTTCACTCACTTCCCTCCCAGTGTGTTGTACGTATCTAGTGGAGGAACAGCCAGGTTTGTGTGGGACTACCATGTGGACAACAGAGAGCAAGAGTTTAGTATTGAATCTCCACAATGGTCTTTCTACAGTCAGAAGCATCGCACTTTTAGTACAATCGGTGCTGACGACAGGTTCACCAACAACTGGAGTTTTGTCATCAATAGAGCAACATGTCCACCAAGATTACTGAACCCTGATCGAGTAAGCAGAGAGTCCACTGCTACTCTGGTCATTACTAGTGTGACTACTGCTGATAACGGAATATATCAATGTAATCTGGTGCTTAAAGCAAAGGATCCTATTAAACACCAAGTACAGCTAGTAGTGACAGGTATTTTCCAGTCTTTAAACCACCATTTGCATGTATTGAACAACTAAGCATTTATTTTCTCAGGTTGTTGTCTTTCTGCCATAGGCATGGACCAGTTTTAAATATTAAAGTAAACAAAAAACAAGATTGTACTGTTTTGGTCGCTATTTAATTCAAAATATCAGTGACAGACTGAAAATAAACAAGACGCTCTTGGAGCGTGCACTGGGTTGCCCATTGTGCTAATATGCTGGAGCTTATTTAAACCTAATCTTTGTAACGTACAGCTATTTGAGGGGAGGGGGTACTTTGGAACATTTTAAACAAAATGTTTTTAAGGGGATGGGGTCACATGACCTGTTTGTGCAAAATATTGCCTCTTCAACTTGTTTACACAAACGTGATGTTTTCTACGACATTTTCTTTAAAAGTAACTCCCACGTTCCAGCCACAGCCACCACAAACAAAGAATATAGCAGAGGGTCAAGATTTGAGCGTGCCTTGTACTGCTGTTGGTCCACCAACACCTAACATCACGTGGGTACAGATAGCAGGTCATGTGACCAAGAGTACAGGAACAGGAAGTGCTACGCTGAGGATACCAAACATTAGAAGAGATCAGAATGGGACGTACGAGTGTCAGGCCAGCAACAACCCTAATGAGAATGTAGTCACTGCACAGACTATGGTAGTGGTATACTGTAAGTATAGAATTCCTTATCTAATAAAGTAAATGTCCGTAATCTTAAATTTCTCCTTTTCTTCTGAACTTTTAGATCTACCTGGAATCGACACATCAGAGTCTTCTATGACTTTAAAGTCGTGGAATGGTAACAGTATTCATCTGAGATGTTTAGCAATTGGTTTACCTGCACCACGGATATCATGGTACAAACCAACAAATCAACAGATCACTACAGGTGTTAACATTTTACCCGGGGGTAGTGAGGTAACAGTACTGACAACTGCTGACCAAGGGGACTATGGACAGTACAAGTGTCGAGCAACAAACATCCTGGGAAGTGATGAACACGTCATCAATGTTACTCAACTGTGTAAGTTAAGCTCGTGAAATATATTTAAAATGATATAATGTCTTCAGTCTTGCTTAGTCCGGGCTTTTGAGTTCATTAGCAATCATATCATCTTTTTTATCTAGTTCCTCCAAGTCCTCTTTTTATAGCAATAAACGAGCTTGAAGCATCATCTATAACCATTAGATGGACCACACCTGCTGATGATGGTGGACTCGTTGTCACTGGTTACTTACTGGAAGTCAGTACCAAGCCCCCAGTGATCACAGTGAATACCCATTCTGTTATAACAGGACTGAAAGCAAACACACTCTACACTGTCAAGGTCTGTGCCAGGAATATTGTTGGATATGGAGCGGTGTCTTCAAAAGTTATCGTAACAAAGACAATCGGTAAATATATCAAAGTGATGTTGCTACTAGTTAGCAAATTTATGATGGTACGGACACTCGGCGGTGCAACATTGCACGCAACATTTCACGCAACAGGACTGTTGCAGCATGTGTCGTCCCCTGAAACTTGTTACACGCAACACTGCATACAACGAATCTGAAGTTGAAGCGCGTTTTACTCTTGCAACATTGCGCGCAACAAATTTCATAGTGTGAACATAGCTGCAACATTGGGTGCAACTTTTTAAAATTTCCAGCCAATCAACATACCAAGTGATAAGTAATGCAGCCCGACTGTCATAAATGTTATTACCATTAACTTGAAATTCAATTTTCCATATTGTTTTTTTCTCGTAGGCAAACCTTCAATCCCTCACCTGATATCAACTATTCTCAATGGCAAAGACTCTAAGCTCTCAATCGTCTTGAGGTGGACAAAACCAGATGACAATGGTGGTAACATAACGCGCTATACCATCTATATGAGGGAAGTGAAACATAAAGCTGAGTGGACAAAGTATGATAACGTCACTGATTCTAAACAGCTTGAATATAAAATAACAAAGGACATTGTTTATGGCAAAACATACATGTTTATGATAACTGCATGGAACAAATATGGAGAATGTGTGAGGGATGAAGGAAGTGCCAAGACTGTAAATACTACAGCAGACGAAGAAACCGCTTCAAATGGTCTGTATCAAAAAATATCAATAAAAATAATTAATAAGATCTAAAATGTTTATAATATAATATTCATTATAATCTTTTTGCGCTTTTACTTCAAATATGTGAGAAGGTCACTATTTAGAAAAGACGAAGAAGCAAGATTTAATGGCGATTTGTTTCTGCTGTAGCCTTTTTTATAATCACTTTAAAATTTCTTTCTGTTCTCTCTCGTAATAGCAATGAGTTATTGTACTGAAGAAGGATCAAAGTATTGTAAGTAAAAGAAAAAACATTTTGTACGTGGAAAAACGATATAATTTAAAATAAATCAATAAATAAATAAAGTGCTTTTGCTTTTTAGCCATTTCTAACTTTTCTCAATTTCTTCCCAGCTTCTACAGCCATGGGAGTCATTATTGGCATTCTTGTTCTATCTCTTGTTTTCAACCTACTACTCATTGTATATCTAAGGAGAAGGGCCCAACTAAGCAGTACGTTTGATAAAGCATTATCGTTTATATATTGATCTTGAACCCAGAACAAGCTAGTGCTGCTCAAGATCGCGCCTAATATCTGTTTTTATCCCTTGTTATTAAAATAGGTAAAAAAGAAAGCCAAGCGCATAATAACAGGTACTATAAGAAATGGTGAATGAATTGATGTGCTACAATAAGTTGGTTGTTATATTTACTTGCCTATTTTCTTTGTTGTTGTTTTTATTTGGGGAATAGTTTGCGGATTATTTTGTGAGTGTAAAACCTTATTAATCTCATTTTCTTTCACTGATTACTGAAGACAAACACAGAAGAAAGCTGTTGCTGGGGAAAGTTATCATGTAAGTCATCTTTGTGTTAAACATTACAACAAATTCCGCACCTTTTTTAAGAGGCAATGTCTGTAAAAATCAAACATAATCGAAAATCCGTGGCCAAGTTGAAAAAATCGATTTT